CTGGAAGAAATCAAAGTTGCAAATCTTTAAGCCTTTATATATCATAACTGATGTTCTGCTGTTCCTGTGATTGCTGTAATTTGTATGCATGAATGGAGAAATCTATGTCAAGAAAAATAAACAAGGCTGAGGTAATTTTAGACCAAAAGCTCATGCTTATTGGGTGCCCAAACGTTTGTCTGTATTTATAAAACACACTGCACTTAGCAGTGCTAGAGAGCAGCCAATCATAGCAGATAATTCACCTTTTCTTTGCAGAGGAGAAAAAAAGAAGCTCTTTATTTGAACAGCTGGATGAACTCAAGACATAATGAATCTCATTGTAAAACTGAATACTTCTATATCTAAAACAAACAGGAGAAAAACAATGCTGAGAGTTATTGTTTGATAACGCAGTTGGCAGTGAATCCACAGTGCACAGAAGGTCATATGGCTATGATTGGATTTCAGGTCATTTTTAAGGTACTCACTGAGATCAATTATATGTGGTTAATAGCGTGAGGGTTATGAGGGGGACATTATTTTTTATAAAGCAATTTAGAATTCTTAAAAACTATGAAAAGTACGATTGCCCAGTTTGCTAAGGTAATTAATTACAGTTTGTCACACGCAGGTCCTTTAAAAAAAAAAAGTAAAATAAATTTAAGAAATAATAGAATGCTGTATGCTTTGTACTGTATGAAAGCAGTCAGCAGTCAGAAAGCACGAGACTGTGTGTGGTTCTGTTTTCCATACCTTAAAGAAGATTACAAAAGTTATAAAGCATGCAGGGAAAAAAAAGATCAGAACTACTCAAGATCTAGCAAAACTAGACATGATAATAATGTATCTTAGAGTTTTGTGTTTGTATTCATGATGGAGATGGATAATATATAGCCTGATCACTGTTTCAAAGTACCTACAGCAGGAAACTTCTGCTAATAGAAAGTTATTTAATTTAGCATTGAAAGGCATAATGTGATCCAGAAGCTTGAAACTGAATCTACATGTATTGATTCTACATATAGCATAACATTCTTCATAGTGAGGATAACTGAAGACTGGAGCAATATATTTCAGAAATCGTGGATTCTCTGTTGTTTGAAATGTTTAATGGAAGATACAGTATCTCATAGAAAGAAAAAAAAATTACCTGGAAACCCATTTGAAGTACAGAAATATAGGACTGTGGCATTTGCTTTTACCAGAACATGCACTGTCATTACTGTACTGGGAATAAGTGTATGAGAGGCTTAAAGGAATTCCAGGAAGGAACAGTAAAACTCAATATTCCAGGAACTGCATATGTCTATGTCTGGAGCTGCAGATCTAGATGATAAACTTTGATGTTAAGGCAACATTATGTTTTCATAGCTGTTATCTTTTGACAAAGTCATTCATCGTTGTATATTTTGACAGATACAGCTGATTAGCCTACTGTCTGCTTTAGCTAGCTAGTGACGTGATTGAATCATCTGAGTATTTTATTCACTAGCTATTTAGTTGAATACTTTGTGGCTTTTTAAACTGATAAACCACTCAAATCACTCAAGTCAGCAGTAGGTCTTCTGCAAGAAAATGCTGTCCTATATTCAAATAACACGCTAAACCACTTTTACAGTTGGTTTATGTAATAGTGTATCACCAGCCCACAAGCATCTGCTCTTAGAGTGCTGCATATTGAGTAGAAACTCAAACATGTACTAGTCAGTGCAAATCAGATGACAGGACATCCTTCAGGCAGCAGTACTACTTCTACTGTGTACCCCACAGCTGCACTCCCTTATCTGAGGGAGTAGGCAAAAATATTAAAGGCTAGGAGAATGTGTTGGATTTTTTGTTATTATTCAGGGATGTTTTCATACTTCAAACTGATACCCTTTTGACGGTTGAGGAAAAAGATTCAGATGACTCTTCAGCTTCTCCTCTTTATATAGCTATAGGAAGAACCTGAAACACTGTAAACAGTGTAGTTCAGGGGAGTCCATATGTGATTCTTGTAACATGAATAGTATGTTGAAACATTCTCTGAAAAACTATTGCATGCAAGTGAATAGAGTGCAAAATACCCTGTTTCACAAATTCAGATTTTAAAACTAGGATTAAATGTTACAGTGTTATTACTGTCATGCCTGATTCATGTGATTCCGGTTGTACTTGTTTCACTGTGAGTCCCAACAGACTCAGACAGTTTTCATCTTTTTCTCTTCTATGTATAAATTAGTATAATCTGGCATGTCTGTAAAGGCCCCTGAGAGATCCAATACTGATAAGAGAGAATAGCCAGTGACTGGTTTTTATCCTTGAAAATCACGATGTCTACCTTAAGGTATTCAAATCTATCAAAATTAGTCTTCTCTTCCAGTATTTTCAGAAATATTACACTCTCTCTGTTAGCTAAGTCATTATTTAATAAAAAGGCAAAATAAAAGAATAAATTCAGTCCAAAGCCTTCATTGTTACTACTTCTGCCGTATGTCCTAGTAGAGTACACTGGTATGAAAAGATTCATTGAGGTACAGTTTATTCCTCCATGCTTGGCAGCAAAGCATAAAGTTTGCAGAAGATAAGATGAAGTGCCAAGAACATGTGCCAAATCATAATATGTCTTCAGCTCCTTCTGCTGGAAGGATCTCAACACAGCTCCCAGAATGTTTGAAAACCACCATCAGTCAGTGATAATGCTTCTATTTAAGTAAGCATTGGTCCTTACTTCAGGGCAATTGGCCAGACTGAAGCAGACAGCATAATTTCTCTCTCATTTTAGTAATTTGTGAAGTATTTCAGGATGAACACTTAGGCAAATAGATGTGAATTATTGGAGAGTGCTTTGTTTGTTTGGGATATGCTGAATGAAATAATTGACTTTGTTAGAATGTTTCCCAGAAAGCTTATTTAGCACGATACTGATGCTGAAAGTTGATAGCTGCTTACTTGGGGCAATACCAGCATGATTTTCATTAAGGGCAATCATTAGCTACAGTCATGGATTTATATTGCATATAATGTTTAAGTTAAAGTCATAGAATGATGCAGAAGTTCAAGCTGGAAGAGACTTAAAAATCGTCTAAATCCAAATCCCATTGGATGAAAATTTCCACTCAGTTTGAAATCCACATGGGAATTATTTGTTCTCTTTTTTGGATGATTGGTCTGTTGGTTGGTTTGTTTTGGCAGTAGTATTAATTCCTTTTCCATTACAGAGAATATAAAAAACGAGTACTACAGAGAAGTAATTCAAAATGGATGGAGGAATTACTATCAACCCTTAGAATGTATAATAGACTACTATATATCTTTATTGTTCATTTAAAATAGGTTGTTTAAAAGATATGCTGCTTCATGCTGTTTTAATGGCTGTGATTTTGCTCAGAACTGCAGTTTGAGAATAAGTGGCATATAGAGTAACTTAGTTTTTTCATTGTTCTTACTGTCCATGGAAATTGCAACTGATACAACGACCCCAATCACACTACTTGATAGATCAAATTCTCAGCTACAAAACACTCTTTTACAACACAGTCACCACCATTAGTTACGCATTTTCTCCAGCGATGAACAAAAGCCCACATGCTGCACTCATAAAAATCTGCTCCAGTGGAGGCGACCCACTGTTGCTACTGCCACTACTGAAATGCACCACACACTGCCTCACTGCCTCCAGAAACCTTGACTTCCGTACCACCAATATCCACCTCTGACTTTGTGGGCCAACATAATAAGAGCAGCCCTCATATGCTCTTTTCCCTACAGTTTTCTAGTAGACCATTTGGGAAAGTGCAGAGTAAAACTCAAGTCTTTCCGGGTCAGATGTCTCCAATTAAAATGCTTCCTTAATGACTGAAAAAGGAATTTGTTGGTACTTTAAAGTTTTAGCCCTCTAATTTACTAATCTGTAGGGTTTACGTCTTTGTACCTCATTTCAGAATAGTCTACTGCAAGTTTCTTCAGTTTTGAAAGGGAAAGTAAAGATCATTCTGTTCTGACCTCTGCCTTCAGTATTGGTAGATCATTGGCATTTTTGTGCAGGATTTTACGGTCTGGTCATATACAACAAGGTAAGCCTTATCTTGTAAAATCTCTTTTTCTATTTATTTCATAATGCTTGCTGTCATTAATGCATATGGAGGTGTTTCACCTTTTTCATATGACAATATTACTAATAAGATCATGTTTCATATTCCTCTTTTGTTTTACTTACTGTCTGGTCATTTTCTGGAACAGCAATTTATCACTGAACTCTATGACTCTGACTGGAAATGCTATAATCTAACTTAGGGAGATCTTAATTTAGTGCACAAAGGAGAAGACCCAAAGAGAACAGATAGAAAACTACATTTGTGATATATCTGGGCAGCAAGATGTTTCTGCAAAGCGATACATCAGTGTTAATTCTGAGTAACCCAGTTAAGTTGCCACTGTGGTTTCACTTGGGCTAAGAATTGGTCTAGGCAATGTAGTTCTTAGCTGGACTTGGTTATCTCTGTGTAGTACTGTATTGTACTGTATTGATGAGACAGAGAAATAGCTAGTTGCATGTGAGCTTTTTACATAAGTGTGAAATGACTAATTGTAAAAACCTTTCTCTCAGATTCAAAAAAGAAAGCCTGCTACAGAACTGCAATGACCTTAGTCCTAAGTTATTAACTAAATAATGTTTTCGTAAGTACAAAAAACTGATACATTCATGTGTTGTATGAACCAGTTAGGTGTTCTAGAAACTGAAGAGGCATCCTGCTGAATTTTTGTAATTTGTACTTTTTTTTTCTCAGAGGAAAAAGAACAGGCAGTAGCAAATCACTCACAATTGCACATGTTTCTGACTGATGGTGTTGATACTTAATTAGAGCAGTGGGAAGGCAGCTTGAATTCTTTCGTTTTACAGAAAGCAAGAAGAATTGAGGTTAATTAAAGGTTAATTAGAGATTAATTGATAGTTCGGGTTTTTTTGTTTTTTTGTTTTTTTTCCTGTCTTCTGGTGATAACAGAAATGTTAGAATCCTTGACTTTGATGACAACAGATTGGGTAGGCCTGGTGTTGATTGCTACTGCCAACATGAAAGTGGTGCTGCAGTCCTACAGCTCCAGTTCTTAATCAATGAGGTAAGTATATATTTACTTGGATTCTTCTATGTATGTTTAGTTGAATAAGGCAATGGGTGTATTGTAATTCAGTAATACAACTTTTCCCGTTGACAAATTGTGCCAACAAGTAAGTGGCATACATCCAGAGGACGTTCATCATGCAGACTTTTAGAAGACTATTCTTGTGACTCATGCCAGGAAAACTATAATGTTTATTTACATCACTATAAAGTACTGAACAAAAGGTAGTCAATACATGAATGTTTGCAGATAGATGTAAAATCCATTCAATTACTGAATATGCTACACAGTTCTGTTTCAATAGCAGTTAATAAATGACTTACTTTTTTGTGTGGAAAAATATTGATGGTAATTATCTAAAAGCTCAATAGTTGTGGATATGCTACTATTTGCAGTAAAAAAGAGCAGCTGCAGGGATCATCAATCAAATGAGCATGCTTAGCCTTTCTACATGGTTTGTCAAAATCATGTTCAGATGATGTAAAGAAACAGTATGAGACTATGACTTGCTCTATGCAAAAGGTCTCTGGAGATAGTAATGCTCAAGAAGACTTGCTGAGCCTATAAATCTACTCAGCAGATTGTTTTCAGAATCTCATAACTTGACAAAATTATAAGATAGTCTTAGTTCAGTTTTCATTAGTTTTCTTCCCTAATGTATGAAAACACTTTTGACAATTTCAAATCCTCAAAGCTATTAGAGCTTCTCAATTAAAGGGTTTGGGTTTTGATGTTTTGTTGGTTTATTTTTTAAATCTCTGAAGTATTTTTGTTCTGAGCTTGTTTGGAAAAGTGCCTGAGCCACTGAAAGTAATGAATGAAAATTGAAACTTCAGAAATAATTCTTTATAAAAGGGTTGGAAAAGTGTTGGGAAAAAAAGGAGCCAATATTTGAATGATGTGGTCCTTTGTGACCAGCAAGGACTGTAATATGTAAGATTATTTTGACTTCTGTGGTGGAGATTCAATCTCTGTCATTGGTCCAAACTCTTCGGGAGATGACAATTAAAGCATGGATTATATTGTATTAGAAAAGTCGTACTTTCATAAATTGCATTTGCACATGTCAGCATTGAAAGAAATAGTTGCTAGGATTAGGAAGGAAATCTGAGATGCAAGAAGAGAGCTTTATTTCTTATCAGACCATCATAGTTGGTATTATCTGAGTGTTCAGTCACGTCCTCCCACTTTGCCAAGATAAAGCATTGTCTACTGTTTGGGCAACGTCCAGTTCCTCTATGCCATAGGATCATGTAGGGATTGAGCCTTTCTATCAGACCTGATTTTGTCATGTAACTATAGTAACCCCACCGATGCAGCAGCAGATACCTGCCTCAACATTTCACATGGTTTTGCTGTTGTATGGTATGGTTCTTGGGGTTCAGAAGCAGAAGCAGACTTCAGAGTATTTCTGATCTGTAGCAGAGACACCATCCTTTTGTCTACATCTCTTTTGTCCTGTCCTTTTGCTACCTATCCCTATGCTCTCTTACCTGCATCTTTTCACAGTTCCAGTTGTGAACTTTATGTTGTCTTCATATGGCTACTGTATTGTACTTGGCACTGGCATTTGTTTGTGTGTCCCTTTTTCCTTTAGTTATACCATTTATACTCACCTTTTAAAGTAGGTACTGGCTGTCCTTCTGTTTATTAATCTCTTGCTTGCATGGAAATTTGTGGGAGTTTGCATGTATAACTTTGGTTAAAAGCTTGAATTTGCATTTTAAATTGATGGAGTTTTAATTTATATTCTTACAGAAGGAAGCAAGTATTTCTCATAAATTGTACTGTTTTCTACAGAGAGATCATTTTAACAGTGAGAATGACTTGAGAATAAGACAGACCCCGTAGAAGAGTGACATGTGCCATATTTTGTGTCTACTCTAGGGTGCTTTGGTCAGTGCATGTGCAGATGATACGCTTCATTTGTGGAATCTCAGACAGAAACGACCAGCAATCCTACATTCTCTCAAATTTAACAGAGAACGGTAAGACTATATAAGACAAAATAAAAATATTGTTTAAAAAAAAAAAAACATGCTTATTTTCCAGATTTTTAATAATACATTTGATTGTTTGCCTTTCTAAAGGAAGGTATAATGTCTTGAAATTTTTTTCTTCCATTGTTTGAACCTTGTTTTCATAGAACAAAAACTTTGCTTTCTCTTTCTACAGCCTTCTCAGAACTAGACAAAGTCTAGCTATTCTTTTGTCAGATGTTTTTCATTTGACCTTCTGTTTACATGAATTGGTGTGAGCAGTGGTATGGTTGCTGCATTTGAAGACCAGACACAAAGCATTGTGATCCTTTGAGGCTGACCTGTTCAGTAAGGCAGAGTACCTTAACTGACTGTAACACAGGATTTTTTTTTCTCTCCCTGAAGCATTTTATTTTTATAAAATACTGTAATTTTAGTAGAAATCAATTGTGAATTTATGAAACTACATAATTGACAGGTGAATCAGAGTCTCCTTTTCTAAATTTTGCTTTATCAGTACCAAATTGTAAAAACTTTGCTGAAAATAGATTAAATGAGTGATTGTTATTTTCAAACTCAGACAAACAGAAACTGAGTACTTTAATCTATATTTAGTCACTCAAATAAAACTTGCTACAGTATTATGGAGACAGAATGCTATTTTTGTATTAATATTAAGAAAAAGTTCTGCATTTCCGTAAGGAAATTCAGTTACTGTTCAGAAGAACGTGCTTTAGCGGATAAATGTAGCAGGGTTTTTTTGAGGGGGAGTAGTTATTCCATTCTTCATCTTTGGGATCTGTTTGTTTTTGAGTTTGAAAACAGAGCTATAGTGCATAGTATGGTTTTGAATGGAAATTTAAGTGATGATGTAGTTCTCTCAATATATGCATTCAGTGTTTCTTCAGATACAGCAGCTTCTTTTTTAGGTACTAATGTATTTGCTTGTGCAGTGGTGAAAGATGTCAGTGCTTTAGCAATGCTGTGAAGAAACAGTCTCATCAAAGCTTTAGCTGCTACAAATCTGAAATTTCTTGTAGAGAGAGACTTTTTATTGTTTTTTATTCCAATTTATATCACATTGTCATTGAATTAATTTACTTAAATTGCAGATTGTTAAAAAATTTATTTATTTATTTATTTATTTATTTGTTTGTTTGTTTATTTATTTATTTATTTATTTATTTATTATTTATTTATTGGTAAGAAAGAAAATGCAATATCATGATTCTGAAGATTCCATAATCATAAACAGGAGTATATCAAGTGATTTGGAACTGGATGAGAGAGGATGAGAAAAATTATAGTTGTCATCTTACTTATGTTGAAATATTTCAATCTTAGTACTCTCACCAAATACATAAATCATTCTCAATTTGTTGATAAGTCTAAATACTGTATCTTAGTATGTCATGGTCTGGTTCTTCCAGCCAACAATCTTTCAGACAACCTAATGTATCAGTACTTAGAAAAATGCAGTGTCTGCTCAGCTGTTTGTCTGTCATTTCTTAGACTAGCATGATCATAATTGTATCAGAATTTTTTGATGAAACAAAGACACATATTTGGGCTGTGCTTGGAGAAAAACGTTCCTCTTTATATTTATCTAAACTTTCTTTTGCTTCTGACAGCCTAATTCACTGGCTGAAATATTTGGAAACAAGTTGTTTGGAATGCTGGAAAAATTTGAATGAAACTAAATATTATATTTATTTTTTTTTATTTAAGAAGCATTTTTGAGCTGAGGTTTAAAAGGATCTGGGGGTATAGCTATCTGTAACAAATGCACAGCTTCTTATATTTCCTTTTGTCAAAATGTAGTAAGTTTGATCAAATATATGCTTTTATGTATATGTTAAATCACTGGTACAATCACTGCCATTTAAATCACTGCCATTTAAATCACTTTATTAGCACGTTAAAGACTGTGAGGCAGATATCCAGATAAAGTGCTATATAATGCTGTCAAATAAGTAAATCCAGTTTTAAGTTACAATAGAACTTTCAACAAGTATGAAGAAATTATTTTGTAGGCAGTTCTTCACTTCTGAGGGCTCTGTAACACTGCTATAATTTTTTAGTTTTCTGTGTTCAGACACTTGATTCCAGAGTGAAATCTCTTCAGTTTTATTACATTTTCTTTTAATGTAGATATAAATAAATTTTACATAACCAATCTTGTGTTTCCAATTTTCTACACTTGATTACGTTTTCTATATAAAATTCAGCATAAGCCTCTAGGCAAGTATAAAAAAAAAAGTAATGCCAAAACCATCATTAACCCTCTCATTAAATTTTAGCATTTCTCTGTATAAATGTCTAAAGGAGTTCAGTCTAAAAAAGAGCTCCCATGGTTTCTTTTTGTGGGTATTTTTTTTATTAGTGTACAGAAGATAGGAATTACGTGGTACTCAGAGAAAGAGCAAATAATGGTTGTTAGCTATGAGAAATCTGCAGCAAAATGGATGTAAGGGGAATTTGGGAGCCTGACAAAGCAGAAAGATCAAAATTGATTTTCTTCAGGAGATTCAAAGATCTGTCTCAGAAAAATGTGTCATCTTTGCTGTTGGAACAGATACCCGCTTTTTTCTTCCTTTCATCCTTTCCTCTACTTTTGCAGGGGAGGCTAAAGGGAGCTAAGATTCATATTGAGTCTAGAACAGTACTGATGAGAGAATAATTATTTATTTTTTCTTGTTTTAACTTAGTAACCCAATGGATGAGCTGATATTTCTTATTCTATCATGTAATCTGCTGGACTTCTTAGCATTTGATATGTTTTTGCCTTTATCAAAATACAGGGTTGTAATATTTCTCCTGCTATAGTTAGAATGTGATATGAAGCATGAAGAACCTTCAAATAAATATAGCCACTATGTTTCAGTGCTTGGTCCCATTCCAGTAGCTGTAATGATAAGACTGTTATTCAGAAACATGCTTGATGGTAGCATATCATTGATAATACACAATTTGTGATTCTGTGCATAAATAGGAAGCACAGGTAAGACTCTTGATGGATAACATTAGGATTGAGCTATAACAACCAAAAACCGTAGTGGACTTTTTGTTTCTTCTTTTTAAATAGTCAGAGCAGCAAGCTTCAGCAAGTATAGCTGAGAATATACAGCTCATTTATGTACTTAGTGCAACTCAGATATCTGTAGTCATAATTTTTTGAGTATGGCTTTCAGGTCATATAGGCTTTCATTTGTTAGTTTCTCTTACAAACATGGTTCATCTCCTGTTATTCTGAAGCTGAGCTAGCTGAGTTATTTTGTGGCTGACACTGGGGGTAGTCCTTTCTTTTCTTATTTTAACCAGTGCTGATTGGCATGTTACAAATGAGCTGACAGCACTGTCAGTTGGTACACTGACACACGGTACTCACTGTACATGAACACACTGTAAATGTTCTGTTGGATCTTTAAATCCATCTTCCTGCACTATGCACTGATGCTGTGACAGTACCTTGAATGCCTTCCTAAAGGGAAATCACCAGGAGCCTGTGTAACTGGCTTTGGGGCTATGGCCTGTAATACTTTCCAATGTGTTAAGCATATTCTGGCACAGAGGAAGGGGAGCCTCTTAAGTGGATGACTTAGTGCAATTGCTTTGTCAGCTTTAGCTTACTGCTATTTAGAATCCTGACTCCTGCATCTGAGATTTTACAGTATTTGAACAAGGTGATAAAGGGTATTACTGGGGTGCTTGGAATCAAAGAGAAAAGACAGAGATATCTTTGGATTAGATGACTTTTCTGTTGGTCTGTATTCTTTTCTGATAGCAGCAGGACTCTTGCTGTATCATTGCAGGGTTTTGTATCCTGTGTTACTTGCCTCGTCAAAAGGACAGCAGGAGGCTACTAAATTAATAGTGATGATGGGCTGTACAGTCTCTGTACTACGCAAATCTGTTTACTTGTGTGTTAGGGACTTAGATTCTGTGTCATCGGCAGTTCAAGAAATTGAATTCCTCTTACAGAAGAGCCCACTGGTTAATATTCTATAGCTGCAAATTAATCAGAGGTCTGTCATCAAACACGATAGCAGTTAATAGGTTCAGTGAAGTTACACAGCCACTCTATAGCACAAACATTCTAATTGCACAAAAAAATTCTAATTACATGATGTGATGCTGCATTTGGCTGTTTAAAAGAATGACAAAATTCAAATGGAAAGCAATATTTCACCATACAAACCTTTTCCATGTTGTCTCTCAGTGTAAAAAGGTGGACAGGATTTAAACTTCCTTAGGATCAGGACAGAAAAAAAACGAGGAATACAAAAAAAGCGATAGTGTTGATTGGCATTTGCTTCCACATCTTGAAGAAGCTTTTACAAAATGTCCATGGCGTAGTCCTGCATCAGTACTTGTCACTTCTGAATGATGCTCAGTGCTATCAATAAGCAATGTTGTCTACAAGCTGTTGATTGGCATGTCTAATTCAAGACAAACTGACCTCTTTGACATGTTTTAACAATCCCAAGCATCTTAATCTGGCCTTTCTACTATGTTTGTAGTTATAATGAGTTTTTAAGATAAACGTATGATGCAGGAGATCATCAGAATATTCCTATATTCCTGTGAGGGAGTATACTCTTTGTATATAGAAACCCCTTATTTGGAATATAATTCAGTGTATTGTTAGAATGAGGTAGTAGCTACAGAATCTGCTCTAGCAGCCAAAAGTAGGTACTGACACTGAAGATGTTCCATGAGTGTCTAGTCTTTGCCAGTCTTATGACATTGTTACCACCATTATGATACTTCCTCACACCTCATCAGGGGAAAAACTTGTAATGACCGTAATTGGTCTATTTGTTTGATCACAAAATTATCCTTATGTTATTGTCATCATAAAAGTTACTTAGGCAAAATTCCAGGAGCAATTTATGCCACAACTCTTATCTACTTCTATTATTCTTATGCTTGTTTTAGTGATGAAGGATGTTTAATAAATTAGTATGTAGAAGTTGATCACAGTTAAGTGATAATTTGAGATGTTATCT